CTTTGAACGACTGATGAAAATGATCCTTTTCAACTTCAAAAGTAAGTTTGTAAAAACAGGGAAGCCAATCAACTGTTGTTACACCATCAATATTGACCGAGAGCCGGCCAACGATCATGTTTTCAACAACAAACAAAGATAGTCATTTCTTGTCAACAAATAACAATCCTAGGTTTGATTTCTTCTTTCGGGCAAATATTTATTACTGTGAGACTGATTTCAGTTCGTAATTAGTAGCAATGAATCGGCAAGTCAGAATATTAAAAAGCATGTTTTACGCAATAATTTCACATACCCCGGTAATTTTTTCGAATTTTTAACAAATTAAGAATTTTTGGTTTTCCGGTGTTCCGTGTTCCGGAATGCTGTTCCGCGGTTCCTGATTTTACTAATAGCCGTCTGCAACGAGTTTCCTAACCTTCTTATCCATAACTTCAACTTTCATCAACTCATTGTCTCTGATAGAGCTTTAAGTCTGGTTTCCATATATCGTATAATGGTCGCAAAGCCGTCTTTCTCAACGGCCAGTTTATAATAGTTTATACCTGTAAACCACATATAAATCATAAGTATTCTCTAGTTATAATTACTCCGCGTATTTTCAGTTCTAAAATGTTGTATTTCGTCTGATGAGAAAGATCGTGACTCAATCTTTACGACCGTTACGACCATACGGGAGCCAGGCTTTAGTATATGCAAAACCATCTATATTTACATACGTTTATTTTCGGTTTCTCCATTTGTTTTTTCTTTAATTCTTCTAAATATTTTTCTATGTCAGGTTCAGCTATATCGATGGGAGTCAGACCCTAATAAAACGGAAAAAGAGATTTCAATGTAAAAATATAAACGACTCATGTCAAGACTTTTCTGGTATTTCAATGACATCGTCTTACGCAGGATAGAAGTATGTACACTTACTAACACAGACACAGTTGAGGTTTTGAAATACAGACTAATATAGTTCAGGTTTCTGCAGTCTAATATGAGATCAGCGTGAATTTGGTAGACGTTTCTTCAAAGTTCCTCAATCAAAATTTGAGCAGATTTCTTGGGGGCAAACTTTTTCGTGTTTTGGCAAATGCATTTACTGACTTTTCTCTCTAGAGGTCCAGTAAGGATCATCTCTTATTGATCCAGTGTTATTACTTATTGCAGGAGGAAACCTAAACTAAACTAACTTTATTTATAATGGATAGCTCTATCAGTTCTAAACTGTTCTTCCTAGAGGTCCAGTAAGAGTCATCTCTATTGATTGATCCAGTGTTACTACAGGAAGAAACCTAAACTAAACTAACTTTATTCATACTTTATTCATACTTTATTCATGGATAGCTCTATCAGTTCTAAGCTGTTCTTCCTAGAGGTCCAGTAAGAGTCATCACTTATTGATCCAGTGTTACTACAGGAGGAAACCTAAACTAAATAACTTTATTTATGCTGGATAGCTCTATCAGTTCTAAACAGGATCATCTCTTATTGATCTAGTGTTACTACAGGAGGAAACCTAAACTAAACTAATTTTATTTATACTGGATAGCTCTATCAGTTCTAAACTGTTCTTCCTAGAGGTCCAGTAAGGATCATCTCTTATTGATCCAGTATTACTACAAGAGGAAACCTGAACTAAACTTTATTTATACTGGATAGCTCTATCAGTTCTAAACTGTTCTTCCTAGAGGTCCAGTAAGGATCATCTCTATTGCTCCAGTATTACTACAGGAGGGTGACAAATATAACAAGAAGCTCATTGACGTACCACATGATTCCTAAGTGTAAAGTCAGCGCCATAATCAGCCAATAACTTGCAAGCTTCTTTCTGCCCCCAGTGCGCAGCCGCGTGAAGGGGAGTCCACTCGTCGACATCTTGAGAATTGGGATCCGCTCCAGCTTGCAGGAGAAGACTACAAATGAAAACAAGGGTGTGTAACACGTTGCTAACGTTCTGGAATTTTTGTTAAGAATTGCTATCACACAAAAGATTGCAACAGGGCAGTGGTGGATTTAGGGGAGGGGTGCAGGGGGTGCGCACCCCCCAGGCTCTGGTTAACAGGGGTGCATGGAGGGTGTGAAAAAATGACGTTTATCCTAATTCTAACCAACTTATGTTAAGGGATTCAGTTGGGTATCACTGGTTGACAATAGCGGAATAGCCAATATTAAATATTCTGAATTTTGAAATGTTTTGACAATCTAAAAATTTTCCAGAATGTTTTCTCAGAATGCTGGAAATGCCATTTCTGAGACCCAAAATTTAAAATTTTTGCCCCCGGACCTCCATAGAAATCTCGCGCCTTTGGCGCTCGTTTCGCCATTGGTTAGCACCCCCCCGCAAAAAAAAAAACTTCGCTGGATCCACCACTGCAACAGGGCATGGTCGCATTTTGAGGGCAGGTGGGCAGCTCCCCTGAGATCGTTTTGCACCTCCCCTGAAAAATCATGCATCTCCCCTTGGGAAAGTTTCAATGATATATCAAAGTGACAAGTTGACATTTTTTGTTGCTTAGGGTCAGCACTTCGTAAGAAAGTTTTTCTGTAAAATTGAAACAGTGATAGCCATTCATCTCTGTATCAAGTGCCCTTTCAATCAGAGTTGTTAACGAGTCCTATGTTGCAAGTCCAAGTCAAGTCACAAGTCATTTGGTCTGAGTTCAAGTCAAGTCACAAGTCATTTTGTCTAAATCCAAGTCAAGTCACAAGTCATTCCGAGTGGCAAGTCAATTCAAGTCAAGTCACAAGTCATTCCGAGTGGCAAGTCAATTCAAGTCAAGTCACAAGTCATTCCGAGTGGCAAGTCAATTCAAGTCAAGTCACAAGTCACTTTATCGCCACATGTGGGCCATGTTTTCCCATGCAAAACGGCAAGATATGTAAATATGGCGTCGTTATTTTATGTCAGAAATTTTACCACGAAATCGCGAAAAAACCCCACTTTGTCAGAAAATACGCCGGCACAAATTCTGTCGATGCCATTGATATGTAGTAAGGTCGTTGCCCAAATTGTACAACACGACGATCGATAGATCAACACAAAGATTTTGGGAAACTTGATTTTCATTAGATATTTACGTTTGACTTGCGTTGGTAACAAGTCATTTCTTGCAAGTCCAAGTCAAGTCACAAGTCATTTTGTCCAAGTCCAAGTCAAGTCACAAGTCATCAGTCTCTTTAACAAGTCAAGTCACAAGTCACAAAAATTGCGACTCGAGTCTACAACTCTGCTTTCAATGCAATGTTTTGAAAGAAACTTTGTAGTAATTGTAATGAAGGGCAAAATTGGATGAGTTGTACACTCATAATTCATGAATACACTGATACATATGTACACTACATGCATACGTCACGTCGTTGACTTTGGCCCGTTCTAAGCCCTAACTTTCCATGGGGGTCGTGAGCTAGACCGCTGCACCTTCCCTAAATCCGACCTTCCACCAAAACCCGGCCTTGCAACAGGGTGCAATAATTCGCGTACTTACGTACCAGAGGTACGCCAATATTTCGGTCTGGTACTTCTTTGTTTTCAGCCACGTACCACTATGGACAATAAAATAAATGGATAAGACTCTAGCTGACGTAAGCAAAAACCACCTAGTTGCAATCTGTGACGTCACGCGTTTTGCAAAGTTCTCTGCATTTTTGTTGTTTCGCTATACTTTCCGCCTTAAAAGAGTAATATTGAAGTATAAACCGGTCTAATTGTTTTAAAAACATGCCTAAGCCACGACAAAGTATTCAAGGTAAATGTTTTTCGTCTTTGTTTTGTATTTTTTTACATTTGTAGCTACAGTTCGAAATTGGCGTCCCCAATTTTAACGAAATTTGGGATGCCTTTTTCACTGTTTAGTGCTTGAAATATTTGCTAAAATTGACTGGGAATACTTAGAGATTTCATCGTAGAATGGCGTAGTTATATTTATTTGCTCTTTGACTAAAATGTTTAGCTGTATTATTGCTAAACATGCCGTTTTTGAGAATTTGGTTTGCAACTAGGTTGGGACATCCAACCACGCCATCAGCCCATTGAAAACATTAGGTCACGTCAGCTAGTTTCCTATCCATTTATTTTGTATAAAGTGACTTGTATTTTTCGGATTGAAATAAAAACTTTTTGACACTATATATATATATATATAGAAATAGCTGATTGAAATAGCTGACGAAAATGCCATTGAAATAGCTGACGGGTCTAAACAAAACGCATGCATGCATATACAGTGCATCGACGCAAGAACAAGTTATTCATATGGTACAACCGTTGGAACCAAATATATATATATATATATATATATATATATATATATATATATATATATATATATATATATATATATATATATATATATATATATATATATAACCAAAATTGCCAAGAAGCTGCATTTTTTTAAAATAATTTTTGATGCACTTTGTCTTTAAGGACTTACGAGTTTTGTTTATTAATTGTTGTGTTGACAATTATGCATGTCATTTATATTATATATAGTTTATTCTAAATTTAAAGGGAACAGCGGTGTAATTAGATTGGTAAATAAATAGAAACTATCGTATTGACAAGTATTGTTATAATTTGAATGCCTAAGTGAGAACTACAGTATGCTGAACAGGGTGGATTTAAGCAATGTCTTTTAAATGATTAATTATATAATTCAATTCACTTTCAAACAGGATTTTTCAAGAGGTTTACTTTAAATGACCATGCATAAAATCCCATTCAATTAGCCTTTCTCCCGATGACGAATATCCGCCATTTTTGGGTGGCATCTAATTCTCGTTCACCAATGCAGACAATGAAAACAATGTTAAAAGCAATTTTTCAAAATAAACTAAGCATTTATAAAGCAAATTTACCATCATTCGTCCAAAAAATTATAAAAATTCGCTGTTATGTGGACTTATCTCGCAGACTTCGGCTGAAATGCCACCCAAAACTGGCGGCCTGAACCCTAAACCCTATATGCTAACATGGGTTCAGTAACTGTGATGCAGTATACAGTGGCCGGGCAATCAAATTTAACAATAAGGATTACGGTCTCCTTTTTTCATACACCCTGTATAGTATTATAGCATTGTGTATCCATACGAATTGTTGCTGGATTGAACAGAAATAGATAAATCACACATGCAATGGCAATGCATATATATGTGAAACCAAATCAACGTTATATTATTGAATCATGTCATTATTGGCAGTATATATAGGTGATGTGCAACCCCCATGAAACTCAAAGAACAAAGAGATTTTCGCCACGTTGGATGATATTTGCATTGCAAACAAGCAAAATCTTTTGTCAATGTCATCCAACATGGCGACGGTCACGTACCTTGCACACCACCTATACCATATTGCGCCACATACATACAGAGTGTATAAAAAACTTGCAAACCTTTGAAATACAATGTTTTTAGAGTTTTCATGATTCAGAACTAATTGTTCCATGCAAGCGTGCGTAAACACAATAGTTGAACCATTCGCAGTCGAACTGATAATTACGGTTTTCTGCGTTACAAATAACTTTGTGTTATTCTAATTTCTATCAACGCAGTTAATTAGAACGTTTCATTCGTTTTCAAATCCCATGAGCAAAATGAGTAGCACAGACATTGAAATGCTAGTATAAGCAGCAGAATTATGCAAATGAAGTGTTTGCAGTTTTTTTATACACCCTTACCCTGTATATTTTTGGACAATTCCAACCCTCGCAAATTTTGCACAAAACTGAAAAATAATGAGTGTAAGCATAAAATAAAGCAATAACAGACACAAAGAAAACATGTACAGAAGTCTGGATGTGCAAGATTGCACCAGGATTGAGATGGATTGTAAATGGCATTTTAATTCATTGTTGGCAGACACTTTTTCAAGTTTTAGTCAATTTTTATGAAAATGTCATGTTGTATACATGTTGCGTGGAAGTTCAAAGTTGTTTAATATGACTCATATTAGTCATATATATCATAACTTAATCCATTTACAATGTTTATTTTTAACTTTGTAGTTCAGTTTTTGAATAAAAGGCATTTTAAGTCAAAAATCGGTGACATTGCCCCTTTAAATCTATATTGGACCAATACCGACAATAGACACAAAAATGAAGACTCAAGACTTGATCAATTTGTTATACCATACATCTACATACACACCCATATAACTCTATTCTATACAACAATATTGACATTTTTTCTCGTAAATTAACACTGTTATTGTGACCACTGAAGTGAACAGTTGTGGGTTATTGTTATTGCTACTGCTATTGAGAGAGGACATGTTATCTTTATTCCGATTGTTCACCTCAGCTGGCAAACCTAATGATTATCTATTACATAACTCAAATCAATCAATTTCACATATTAATGTGATTCTGTTATTCTGACTATTTTCCGAATTTCACATAGTCGGCCTGCATACTATTTAGTAGCATATAAATTGCTAATTCTTTAACTTCTTAGTCCACAGCCTGTATTATAGCCCTCTTTAGTCACATAAAGCACGAACTTTATCTAAAACAATTATTCCCTCAGGCTCAGCGATTATGCTGAATATTCTTGACTTCGTCCCGTTGAATATTCACCTATAATCACTGAGTCTGAAGCGAATAATTGTTATAAGTAACAACCTTGTTAATATTATCATACGTGTTGCAAGGTTTTTCCAACAAGTTAGAAACAGTCATGATATAACAATATTGCTACAACCTTTGTATCCATATCATATTCTTGTTATATCATGACTGTATCAGACTTGTTAGAACAACCTTGTAACACATCTGATAATAAATAGTCTGCATGATAATGCCATAACGCTTGTTACAAACTTGTTAACAGCTTGTTCCAAACTTGTTACAACAACTAGAAACAAGCAATGCGAACACAACTTGTCGACAGCTTGGGAACAGACTTGTAACAACTTGTTTGCAGACCTGTAACAACTTGTGCGTTTTTACGTGTCCTCTGTTAACTAATTATAAATATATTTCAATACATATTGACGCTGATACAATGCACAAAAATTTTAATTTATCAAGAATTGCATAAATAACCTCCCAGTCGAGAACCATTGGAAAATAAACCACTGCATGTTCGGGAACTAAAATACAGTATGCAAATATCCTGTCCTAGAATGGATGCGAAAGCAGTCCCAAGATGGACATTATTTGCCGTATACAAGATCTTGTTCTCATAACGTGTGACGGTTTTTTTTATCAAATCATTCGGAGTTAAACCGAATATCAAATAAAACCCAAATTGTATAAAATTTTTCTTCCATTACAAGATTAGAATAATTAAAAAATCACAAATATAAGGCTTACAAGATTACAGAGAGAATAATTAAAAAATCACAAATATAAGGCTTACAAGATTACAGAGATTACAAGAATTACAAGCAAGCTTGCAAGAATTTAAAGAATTTCAAGAATTACAATTACAACAATTACAAATTACAAGAATTACAAGATTACAGCAATTACAAGATTACACCAATTACAAGATTACACCAATTACAAGATTACTCCAATTACAAGATTACAACAGTTACAAGATTACAAGGATTACAAGGTACAGCAATTACAAGATGTACAGCAATTACAAGATTACAGCAATTACAAAATTACAAGATTACAGCAATTACAAGATCACAGCAATTACAAGAATTACAAGATTACAGCAATTACAAGATTACAATTACAAGATTACAACGATTACAAGATTACAACAATTACAAGATTACAAGATTACAAGATTACAAGATTACAAGGATTACAAGGATTACAAGATTACAGCAATTACAAGATTACAAGATTACAAGGATTACAAGATTACAGCAATTACAAGATTACAAGGATTACAAGATTACAGAATTACAAGATTACAACAATTACAAGATTACAAGGATTACAAGATTACAACAATTACAAGATTACAAGATTACAAGATTACAAGGATTACAAGATTACAACAATTACAAGATTACAGCGATTACAAGATTACAAGGATTACAAGATTACAGCAATTACAAGATTACAACGATTACAAGATTACAACGATTACAAGATTACAACAATTACAAGATTACAACAATTACAAGATTACAGCGATTACAAGATTACAAGGATTACAAGATTACAACAATTACAAGATTACAAGGATTACAAGATTACAGCAATTACAAGATTACAGCAATTACAAGATTACAAGGATTACAAGATTACAAGGATTACAAGATTACAAGGATTACAAGATTACAAGGATTACAAGATTACAAGGATTACAAGATTACAGCAATTACAAGATTACAGCAATTACAAGATTACAGCAATTACAAGATTACAAAGATTACAAGATTACAAGGATTACAAAGATTACAAGATTACAAGGATTAGAAAATTAGAAGGATTAGAAGAATGACAAGATTACAAGGATTACAAGATTACAAGGCTAAGGATAATAAAGGATAGAATAGGTTTCAGCGAGACATGGACCCGTTACCCCTAGATTCATGGTAACTACCACTGCCCCAACCGCGATCCTAAGCTTTCGACAATCTACTTCACCCCCCTGGTTTCAGCCCAAAAATTTTGTTTTCGAGGTAAAAATCTCATTGAAAATCTTGATATTTTTATCCAAGTTTGCTTGATTTACAACGGACACTGCCTTTTTGCGCCGCTCGTATGTATGAGAACTCTTCAAACAAGAACTAGAAGAATATTTTTATTCCCCGGTAAGATTTTTATATTTGAATATTTCTAGATTCTAGCTTGCTTGATTAAACTCGATAGAAATACAAATCCCCGTACGAAAAATGGTTGGGAATTCTGTAATTTTATTGTTCTTGTGATTTACCACTAGCCTCTGTGTTTTCATATGGTTTTAAAGGCTGCTTGTGGTGTTAAAATCCTTACTGTGCACTTATATATTGATTTAGTACTACAGACTTCAGTGTTATAGAGATACGGTATATTAAAGCAAATTTTCCCTGACAAACTTTGAGTGATATATATCCTTGCCAGGTTCTTGTAGCAGTTATTTATAATTTCATACTGTGTAGTTATATTAAATGTCACTTCTACAACAGGCAAACTGAAAAATTGCTTTGCTAGGCCAAAGATAATGTATCAAGTTCAAACCATTCAAATGATTCAATACCCATTGCAATCAAGCAATAACCATAAACCTCTGAATATATAAGCCCCAATGACAGACCCCAAATATAAGCCCTCCTGTGTAGAACGGCCACCATAAGAAATTCTGAATATAAGCCCTCTCCCGAATTTAAGTCCCTCAGTCTGTGTTAGCCCATGGACTTATTTTTGGACAGGTATTTTTTAATGCAGCAAAGGGATCCATTCCAACAGCTCAGCCATCAAAAATGCTAATGAATGCATACAAGCATTCAGAGGTTTACATGGTACATTCATCTGACCAACATAGTTTGTCAGAGTTCTATAAATCTCACAGCCATTAGAGTTGTAGTTAAGTATTTGTAGGAATGAAGGGTGTGTACGTGCCAGCCAATGCATATTCTCTCAATCACTGCCCTTGGCATTGACCAAAATTGTGCCCTGACAATTAACCAATCAAATTGATGATTGATAACATGTTTGAGAGCATCTTCAGTGGGAGTGTTACTGTTCTCAGTGTTGGAGTAGAGCCAAACTGTTCAGTTAGACATTATTTATGAACTTTCTCTCTTAGATCTGCATACATTAGATCATATTTGATATATTCTAATGTAAAATGAAACTTTGGGATAGTTAAGAAATACAATTAATCCATTTATAATGGACAATTGTCGTCTTGACAGGTAAAATTTCCTGGCATATTAGACGGGCTTATAAATGCCAGAACCTATATATGTGAGTCAATTTATTTGACATACCATGATATTAATTAACCATTAGGTTGCATTGTGCCCTAATGCACCCCACTTTATTATTTTACTCTGTCTAACACCAGACAGTTGTGGACTGGAGAGCCATGCGTTAACATATCAATAATATCTAAGTGAACAGTTTAGGCTCGATCTGCTCTACAGTAAATTTCCCTGTAATCGGAGTCTGGGATCTGTGACCCAATACATCTTCAGTGTCTTCATATGGTACTGTCACTATTTTATATGTATAATGGACATTTCTCATTCAGGGCGAAACTGATGTAAGTCATGTGGACAAGAAATTAATACAAGCCAGACCTAACTGGCAGAACTAACAATGACTTTTCTCTATAATTTTGTGGGAATGTGTTATATTTACTCTGTACAAACAGCCAAAAAATGATGCATGAGCTCTTAGACTAATAATACTGTATTATATATTTTAAAATTATTCACTGCATGGTCAAAGAATAATTATGAAATTAGCAATTTTAATTAAAATAAATAATATACAAAATCAAGCAAATTTTTATCTTTAATTAATTTTGAAACATTACTGCAATACATGTTTCTTGGTATGGAGTTTCACTAACAACAGGGGCATGAACTCTAGCCTCCTCCACAGGCATCTCACCCGAGGAATCGAGTGATGGGAACCCATTTGCAGGCTAAAACGCAAACAGGAAGGGCAGTGGCGTGCTGGCAGGGGGGGCCGGGGGGCCACGGCCCCCCCAGCTGGCAATTCTTGGGGGGCGCAAAAATGAAAAGGGGGCGCCGTCCCGTGCGGAATTTTGAAAGTGGGTGGGAAAAAACGCATTTGAAAAAATATAGTTACTTCCGTCAAGAAGTATATATTTGTATAGGCTTATAAACAGATCGAAACTAAGCGCATAGAGGACAAAGAGATATATTAAATTACAGACTATTTGGTCTAACCGTATTGGCTAATTTGCTACTTCATAGCTCACACAAAATCGTTGATATAGAAACATGATCGGTGATCACACACAATGTCTCATTACCGGAATATTGGTCAGGTTTCGAAGCGATCACGGGAATTATGCCCTTTTTTGCTGGTATTATGCCCTTATATTATGAAGGTATTATGCTTCACGAATCACGAGAGCGGCGCAAATTAGATAGTTATGATAATGTAAGTTGTGTACGCAATTTAATTGTTTGTGCAAGAAACATCATGACTCATGAGTAATGTAAGTGATAAGATAATGCTGAAACGCGTCCTTTTGGCAGTCAAGCAAGGTAACCTTAAAGTGCATATGCGTGGGGTCCGTGTGCTATTGTATAAAAGAGCTGTATGTTGTAAATGTATTCAGATCACGAGATCAGTAGAGAATAGAATTGGGATTAGATTAATCGCTGGAACTGAGTTAGCATTGCCCAATTTAAATACTACTACTAAATTCTAACTAAATTGCAAATTCCAACACGTTATAATGCCGTTTCCTGACCATCAGATTTCTGTCAAACATTCCCCCCAAAGTCCAGGAAATGGCATTTCAGAGACCCTAAATTCAAAAATTTTCAGAGGGGGCATGCCCCCGGACCCCCCTAGAGAAACCTCGCACCTGCGGCGCTCGGCTCGTGCCTTCGACACTCGTTTATCAAGCGTTACAATATAGGGGCGCATATTAGTTGAAAACCTACTGGCCCCCCTAGAAAATTAGTACCCAGCACGCCACTGAGGAAGGGAAAAATGGGCGTACGGGAAGGGAAAAATTAGGGGGGCGGAAAGAAATTTGCCCGACTTTTTCGGATTGTGCCCGAGTTCCAAACTTTCCAAAAGTATCGATGGGCGTGTAGGAGTGATTACGAAAATTTCCTACTAAATAGCATATTTCCCACAAAATAATTTTGACAGAATTTGTCCCATTTATTTTTATAATAAGCCAATATTGCCTGACTGTGAAGCGAATATTGCCCGACTGGCTTTGTTTGCTCAACAAACTGGGGGGCTGCTGCCCCCCTAATCCCCTGCCCGGTACGCCCATGCCTGCGGAGGAGGCTCACAATAGATTATAGCGCCATAGGGGCTATGAATATGGTTGGCCTAGCCAGGTTGGCCTAGTTAGGAGAATAATTTATTATTTCTTTGCCGACACAATTCTATTGTTTTGACAATATTTTCATGACCGATGTTGTTTTGACTTTATTTTGACCAAGTCAGTCCAGTTAGTGTTCCCGCCTTCCTGGTGTAACTGAGAGCTTGCCTTGTCCAGGTGAGATCTGAAAACTGAGCCAGTCAGGTTGTCCATACAATTTGAAAGGAATTTCCACTATAAAAATAACCACACAGTGAGGTCTTGCTTACTGGCCTAGCTGTCGCATTAACAACCCTTACCAAAAATATGCCAGCACTTGAGTCAATTAATTAACCCAATACTCATAGGGATGGGACAAACAAGTTAATGGATGGCCTTTTAAAGATACATACAACAAACTATCAGATAGCACACAATATACAAACTTGGGCAAAACATGCATTAATTTCTCAAATCAGCTGAGCAGCCTGAGCTTTGTCCTGCACCAGTTCACCACAAGCTTATGCATGACAAAACCCGACCTTGGCTAAATCTATATATAAAACCTTACTTCCCTCTTTAATATAGTAGCACATCATAGTTTCATGTCAAATATTTGTCAAATTCACATACATGCACAACCATTAATTCATTGGGATTGAGGGCCGGATGAAATTATTAGATTTTAAAGTTATAAAAAGGTTCGTCTACAACCACATGAATACTCGTGGCTTGTTTTCTAAAAAATAGAGTACATTCTACCTTTTATTCCTAACAAATGGTCAACAGTCGAAAAAATATATCGAAAATATCAAAACAAACAAGTATTCACTGCAAAAAGCAGAAATATTTTTATAAAAACCAGGGGAGTGTGAAAACTGTGGCGGGCTCATATTTGAGCCTTGTTCAGTGGCAATTACCATGAATTTAGGGACCAGTAGTCATGGAAATGGCGTCATTTTCACTCAAAATCCGCCATGTTTTTGCGGACACTTCGTTGACTGAACGAAGTATAGGAGCAGGTCCTCCAGTAATATAGTATAGCTCAGTGCCCTCGCCTTGCTGACAAAACCATTGTATTTTCCGAACATGAAGTATCCAATGTTGTTGTCATGGTAACACGATAATTTTTTAAGAATATTCTTACAAATGAAAAATCGCCTAAAAATATCACTTTTAATTACAAAATTATCAATTTCCCAACATATATAGTTAGGTATGTTATTATACGTAATATAAGCTTTAATTTAAGGTAAAATTCAAACACAAAAGCTTCGCAAAACGTCTTAAAAGTTAAAATGTTCTTTATAAAACTATTAAAACTGCCTTTAATTATTAAAATGGCTTTATCGATAAACTTTGAGTTTGCAATAAAATGATTTCAAATTCTCGCATGCAAATAACTTTGCTCCCTTTTTTATTAAAAAAATCAATATAGGCCTAATAAAAAAGGGAATCAATATTATTAATACACTAAAATTATATGCTGTCTTGTTTAGTTGTTTCATATACGCAAAGCCAAAGGGCCAAAGAGGCCGTCGGGTTTTAAAGCAATTATAAATCAATATTTAAAACAAACTTAATTACCTTCGTTGACGTCGACTCCCTTCTTTTAGCCGATTCTTTCGCCCTTTCTTTCTTGAAATTTACAAAATCTTGCAAAAATGAAATATATTTGCAATCATCAAATCAATCATCAAATCAAGAAATGAAGAAATGTTTGCTATTTCGCTGTCGTCATGCAGTCGTTTTAATGCAAACTTTAAATTGGACCAATCAGTATCCGCTATTCATGACAGTCCGCCATATTTTTGAGATCAGTGAGGATGACCGAACCACCGAACCACTCACGGTAACCCACGCCCGCGCTCATTGATGAACTGTAGACTTGGCTAATGCTTTCGTTTCCCCGGGTGTAAATAGCTGGGGGGGATTAGTACCCTCGCACGGCGCTTCGCGCCGTCGGCTCGGGGATTAGACAGATTTAGAAAAGACGACGCGACCTCAGTCGTCCTCAATACGTTCAGTCAACCTATTGAGCACGACATGAACGACAGAGCTCCGCAAAATATGGCCTTAAACTCAACAAATCAAACTTATGATCTGTTTGATGTTAAAAAAATAAATTATTATGGCAAGGAGATCTTTCTCAATTAAAGACATTCGTTGCGAATGAAGTGAATCAAAGAGATGCTGAAAATGCGATATGGCGATCGCCGAGCGGAGGCACATGGTGCTTTAAAGGCGAAGGCGATGATCTGTTAGTAACGTGGCACAGCAAAAGCAAAACGATCTCTTTTGACGGTAAAGCGGCTGATGAAATTAAAGAACGAATTCACGAAGCTATAGCAACAAATATACAGATTTGACAAATGTCGAAGTCGCAAATGTAGAAGCCACCAATGTTGAAGCCGCAAAGGTCGAAGCTACAAATGTCGAAGCCACAAATGTCGAGGCTACAAACGACGAAGCCGCAGATATCGAAACCAGAGATAATACTAACGCTATCGAATTGGTCAACATCAGTGATTCTACCTTACTGCCTAATGATTTATGCGGTAAGTGGTCTGATCTAGCCGACAAGGTCGAACTCCTCGAAGATCGAATGAATAATAACTTTATGGATATCGCAAAATCAATAAACAGTTTGAAAGCAAAGGAAGGATTAAATACGGAGCTCTCCCGTGAATATGTTGATAGTATTGTGCGGGAAAATGTAAAATTAAGACAGGATAATGAAAATTTAAGGGAGCGTTCTGAAAATCTTTCGTATATTATATCAGATCTAAACACTAAAGCTAAAAGATTGAAAATGAGAAAGAATCCCTGATTACAGCGTTGGGAATGTTACAATCAGATCTAAATGAGAAATATAAAGGGGCTGATTGGCAAACTGTCAAAGGTTCTGTTATAAAAAACGGTAGCTATAAACAGATGTCCGCATCTAGTATAGATGCTGATACCAATCCGAATGTCGAGATTAGCAACAGATTTGAAAGTCTAATTTACGAAGGCGATGAAGAATCTGATGATCAAGAAATTCCTAACACGACAAAAACAAAAGAGAAATTAAGCCTTCAACAAAAGGGCTTTGGTAAGAATCAAATGAGCGAATCTGATGACAAAGCTGCTCAATCGAATTAGCCAACAAGCAGAGGTCACAGCAGATTAATCAGGAACAAAAGCATCAGTGGCGGCGCCAGGGGGGGGGGCAAGGGGGGGCAAATGCCCCCCCAAATTTATTTTTTGCCCCCCCATTTTGCCCCCCCTCAAAAAAAATTATTAGTCACTAAGAGCGACTAAAGGCTACACAAGCGTTTTGTAGTTATCGGAAAATGTATGGCTTATAAGTTGTCATTACTCATTAGTGAATGCGCGTATACATGAAACTGTTTTTTACAGTTTCAATATTAGTTTGTAAATCTCTGAATGGTAAAACTTGCCAATACTCCAATAATACGTTCCAAAAAAAGACAAAAAAGCTTTAGTTTTGCAGAGTTAAATTCTCAAACGTGTAAGGCATTAATAAGATGAAAGTATCACGAAATTATTTGAATAAACCACACCGCATATATGGGGGGCGAATGTCTAAAGAGGGGCGATATTCCTAGGGTATTCGCCCCATCCCTCTGGGAGGCGCGAATGTCCTAAAGAGGGGCGATATTCCTAGGGTATTCGCCCCACCCCCTGGGAGGCAATATTCCTAGGAATATCGCCACGTTTTGAGGGGGGGGGCAATTTCCTGGGGGGCGACCTTTTTAAAAATTCTATCTTGCCCCCCCAAAATTTGAGTTTGCCCCTCAAATGCCCCCCCAAATTTGGAGGCCTGGCGCCGCCACTGAAAAGCATAAGAAGAATAAGAAACAAAAGGTGAAGAATAACGAACAAAAGGCAAAGGAAAACGAGCAAACAAGAGAAGCGCATAAGGCAAGTGAGGAACTAATAACAGCAGAAAGACAACGCACTAAAGAAACGGTCGTTATAGCTGGAGATTCGATTATAAAATATGTAAAAGGTTGGGAAGTATCCAACACTGACAGAAACGTAATAGTTAAGTCTTTCTCAGGTGCAACAGTTAATGATATGTCTGATTTCTTAAAGCCCACTGCACGAAAGCAACCCGATAAGCTCATTATCCATGCAGGCACAAGCGACATACGCTATTCAAGTCCTAAAGAAATTGCAAAGAAAATTATCGAGTTAGCAGAGAATTTTAAAAAGGATTGCAATGATACTGAAGTCATCATCTCTTCTTTAGTCACTAGATGCGATAGAGAGGAACTTACAACGAAGGTAAATGAAACTAACAATATATTAAAGTCAAGCTGCTTGAAGAAAAAGCTTGCATTTTTAGACAATAGTAATATTAGTCGCTCTCATTTAAATAGTAGAGGACTGCATTTAAACCGAGAAGGTAGCTCTTTGCTTCAGGCAAACTTTTCATATTTCTTAAGTTCGCATAATTGAAATGAGGACGGGTCGAGGAGGAGTGCTAATGATGCCTGTTTAAATATTCCGAAAACAAGGGGTTTTAAGATGGCTATGCTTAATGTAGTTAGCCTTCCGAAACACCTTGATGAAATCCGATTATTACTTCACGATAAATATTTAGATGTTTTAGCAGTTAATGAAACCCGTTTGGACTCCACTATTTCCGATGGGATTGTTAGCATTGAAGGTTATGACTTGCTACGTGCTGATCGGAATAGAAATGGAGGAGGGGTATGTATTTATATAAGACGCCATATAAATTATGAAAATCGCCCTGATCTAGTTCCAACAGGCCTTGAAGCTGTCTGTGTGGAAATTAAGCAGGCTAATAGTCAATCTTTTATAGTTTCAAGTATTTATAGACCACCATGTTCCGCTAGTGAAGTGTTTATAAAAATTGAGAGGCTAATCAAATCAATTGATGATGAAAATATAGAATTTTATATTTTGGGAGATTTAAATTGTAATATGCTAGAACCAACTTTGTCCACCACTAGAAAGCTTCAAGACGTTTTGGAATTATATCAGCTTACACAATTAATTAATAACCCTACGCGTATTACCCAGTCTAGCCAATCATTATTGGATGTAGTAATTGCGTCAATGCCTGAAAAAATATTTTTTTCAGGTGTAGTCCATCTCGGAATTAGTGATCACAGCCTCATTTATAGTATTAAGAATAAGTACAAGAATAAAAACTGATTTACAAGGTTCTGTCGAGTATAGAAATTTTAAGAATTTCAATGTTTCAGGCTTTCTATATGACTTACAAAATATACCTTGGGAAGAAATAAGATTTAAAAGAAATGTAGATGAAATGTGGCGGTTATGGAAAACATTTTTTGTAGATGTGCTGGATAAACATGCCCCTGTGAGAGTAAAAAGATTAAGAAAAGGGGGCAATATTCCTTGGGTAAGCCGGGAAGTAAAGGAAAAATTATTTAAAAGAGATGCTCTTAAGCGTAAAGCAATAAAGACAAATAAAGAAGAAGACTGGAGACTATATAAGTCATCTAGAAATGTTGCCAACACTGCTTTGCGCAGTGCTAAAAGAGATTATTATGCAAACAAATTCACAAATAATAAACAGAATCCTAAATATGCTTGGAGAACAATAAACGATATATTAGGTCGAAACAGAAAACAGACTACGATTAATGAAATTAAACTTCCAGGTAAAACTGTTACATCGACCGACGAATTAGTCGACATTTTTAATGATCATTTTAGTAATATTGGCCCAAAGCTTGCTGAGTCTATTCCAAATGACAATGACGTTAGTTTTCGAGATTTTATTACTCAACAAAAATCTAAGACAAAGAACAGTTTCTCATTTCGACCAGTGAGTGTAACATTGGTTTACACTCTTCTAGTTAATTTGTCTACCACCAAAGCGACTGGAATGGATAAAATTTCAGCTAAAATTCTACAAGTAGCAGCTCCAGTTATTGCACCTTCTCTTACTGAGATTTTTAATATGTCAATTGACTCGGATCAATTTCCTTCTGATTGGAAAGCTGCAAGGGTTATTCCATTGTTTAAGAAAGGTCAGCGGTCCATGTTGGACAACTATAGACCGATATCAATCCTTCCTGTAGTAAGTAAACTTATGGAAAGAATTATGTATGATCAAATGTATGAGTATCTTAACCAGAATAATCTTTTCTCAAAACACCAATTTGGTTTCAGACCTTATCATTCCACAACTACTACATTATTGGATTGTACGAACGAATGGTATACCAACATGGACCGTGGGCTGTATAACTTAGTTGTTTTTCTTGACCTAAAAAAAGCATTCGATACAGTCGACCACGAAATACTGTTAAGTAAGTTTGAAATGTATGGTTTCCAAAGGAAAGCATTAAATCTTTTACGTTGCTATTTGACGCACCGAACTCAAAGTTGTCAATTGGCCAGTATACTCTCGGTGGAGAAAGAAATCATTTGTGGCATTCCTCAGGGAAGTATACTCTGCCCTCTCTTATTTATTATGTATATAAATGATTTGCCAAGCTGCCTAGAACGCACAACTCCAAGAATGTTTGCTGATGATACTAACTTAACGGCAGTAGGCAGAACAATTAGTGAGGCGGAAGAGAGGGCGAACGTAGACATGAGGAATGTTCAGAAATGGTTTTGTGCAAATAAACTAAGTCTAAATATAGCGAAAACCGAGTATGTTTTAATTGGAACACGACATAAAATAAGTAATATTGATACCCATCAAGGAGTTAAAATAAATAATCAATTGATTAAAAAAGTTAAAAATACCAAAGTTCTTGGAGTTGAATTAGACGAAAACTTGAGTTGGGAAAAACACATTAACCATATTAGCAGTAAAATATCATCAGGTATTGGGGCTATTAGAAAAATGAGGGAGTATGTCGAACAAGACCTTTTGATAAAAGTTTATAATGCCTTAATCCAACCTTATTTTGATTATTGCTGTGAAGTATGGGATACACTTAATAAAGGCCTAAGTGAACGTCTACAGAAATTCCAAAACAGAGCGGCTAGGTTGATCATGAACTTAAAAAATGAACATGGTCAGTCTATTTTGGCACGAAAATCTCTAGGCTGGGTAACACTTGAAGAGCGTAGGGCACAAATGAAAGCCAGGCTCATGTACAAGATAGTTAATGGTTTAGCCCCCCAACGACTATGTGAAGCTTTCCAAAATCTGAATACCATTCATGACCATAATCTGAGAGGTTCTTCAACAAGGTTTTATATTCCAAGACCAAAAACGGAATCCTTAAAAAAAAGCTTCCAATATAGTGGGGCTAAAATATGGAATCAGATACCTGAAGAGATACGCAATTCGGTATCGTATAATTCGTTCTGTAAAAAGCTATCTTCCTCGACCTTAATCTCGACTTAAAGTAGTAGTTAATTTTTTGTCTAAATAGGTATATAATTGTATTTGTTATGTATGTAATATTAGAGCTAGTATATAAATAATAATTTGTAAGTACACATCCCTTTTGGAAATCAGCTTTTGCTGAAAAGGCCAATGTGTTTAAATAAAGTTGATCTATCTATCTAAGGTGCATGGTACAAAAAATACAACTATATAGGACTTCTGGCAGGAATTGAACTTGCGGCCCTGCGATTCCAGTGCAGCGCTATGACCAACTGAGCTACGGAGTCCGTGCAGTTGGGTTTATGCATATATATATATATATATATATATATATATATATATATATATATATATATATATATATATATATATATATATATATATATATATATATATATATATATATATATATGTGTTTTGTCCAGGATTGTCTGTATATTTCAAATTCAATAACCAAGGCATTGCGCATTAAAAATTGAGTTCTATGCTGGACTTTCTCTTTCCGTATAGTAAATATGACTCACTAGAATGTATTAGGCTTCAAGAAGCAAATACCATATGGTCGACAAGGTAATATAACACCCTCATGCAATGCAATGCTATGCTTTGATAGCTTGTATAGAATGCGATTAAGAATCGTATGCGACGACTTTCCCGCATTTAATATACGTCGGAGAGCAAGTCAATGTACTTAGTAGTGTATATACCAACTATTTTACAGTAAGAATATTCTAAAATACGTTAATCCATATTTATTTGTGTTGTTAGACAGACAAACGCTTAGCTGTTGACTGGAAATATATTGCGTGACCGCCGCGCTAAATGACTAATCCGATTTTGTTATTGTCGTATAATTAATAGCGCATGCGCATTGACGGTGTACCACGGTACAGCGTGAACATATAAGAATATATATATATATATATATATATATATATATATATATATATATATATATATATATATATATATATATATATATATATATATATATATATATATATATATATATATATATATATATATATATCGCCAGATCTGAAACATTAAGTTAAGTAAGAGTTAGATACCGAAAACGGAGGCTCTTAGTCAGATACAAACCCGAGGGGCCGTAGGCCCCGAGGGATTTATCTGACTAAGAGCCGACGTTTGAGGTATCTAACTAACTTAGTTCATATTTGTAAGGATTGACCCACAATGAAATTTACTTTATGATATGTATTGTTCTTTAAATGAGTTTGAATTACCATGGTTGTATTAAAAACAAACAGGGCTATTTTGATATGCATCAATTCTCGTGTCGCACTACTGTATACTATCAATGAGAAGTGATTAAATATTCGTTCACCAACCACAATTACGATGAAATATGTTTGAAATAGCTCATACAACCGAGAAGAGCTAACGAAGATTTGTACGGGTTTGTCGAAGCAGAGATTCTCAAGTTGTTCTCAACAGGGTTTTATTTCCAGGATAAAAACCAAATGGGAGGTCTTTCATTGAAATTCAAGACCGAGGCGTGCAGCACCGAGGCTTGAATTTCAATGAAAGACCGACCATTTTCTATTGTCCTTGGGAGGTTGTGGGACGAAATAAGGTTGAACATGCGCATTAAACACGCTTTAATGTGGTTGAGCATGCGTAGTATATCATTTCGCGTCCCACAAGCGAAAGAGCAGATATTACTGTATAAATTCCTTGCACAAGCAAGTTTGATGGTCGGTTCAGCTAGTCCTCGTGCACCGAATGATAAATATTCTACCCAAAGGTAGAGTTTGACGGGCTTTTGAGGTACACGGCTGTTGTCTCTTTCTCGACTCAGAGACGTGCAGCGTTTTCTAGTCGAAAAGGAGATGTGGGGTTTGAGTTTGGTTAAAAATTCAAGGTATCTAACTCCATAGTGACCTCCAAAAGGGGTCACTATGGAGTTAGATACCTTGCATTTTTAATTAGGCATTCAATTCTATTCATCAACCCCGCTTTTCCCTGTGGAGATATCAAATCCCTCCCCTTGCTTTTAGATTCTTACCCAAATAAAACCCTATTGAGAACAATAGATATCCGCACAAAAATGAACTAAAGTGGTATACTACCAGGATTTATATTTATTATTATACATTTAATATGTATTCTCGTTTCTAATTGGTCAGAAAGCACCGGCTAATTTTCAGTATTCGGCATTTATTACGTATTTTCCGCCGATGACGTCATCAGCGTCCAATAATTGTTTTTTTGCATCGAACTTGCATCCAAAAAACAATTATTGGACTCTCTCGTGCCCAAACCCTTGCGCGGCCAAAAGCTTGAACCTATAAGCGCGCGAAAAAAACAAACAAACAATGGCCTACAGTAGATTTGCTTCGCTGAATGAAAGTGAACTCTCCAAATTATTGGCAGATAAGGATAGTGAAAGCGCGAAAAAAGCCACAAAGGGGTAAATAGAAGTAGAAATAGAATATTTAGCTGACCTTAATTTGACTTTGTGCAAGGTGTTTGATATTCAAATTGTACTTTTCCTACCTCATGAACAGGAATCGTTTTATACGTTTCTCATGTCTTTAAATGTATAATAAAACAATTATTGGATTCAGCTTTCGCATGATATCAAGAATTATTCAGACCTCGGTCTATGTTATCCGCCTCAGCTTCGCTTCGGCAGATAACATTGACCTCGGTCTGAATAATTCTTGATATCATGCTCAGCCTCATCCAATAATTGCTTAATAACTCTAAGATTATAGACACTGGGCAGTCGCTAGGGGGGAGGAGTGTGTGACACCCCCTAAAAATATTTTTGGTGAAATGATGAATTTCCCGGCAAATTGTGTTCGTAGTAGGCAAAGCATGCATGAATTGGAAGATGGAGGAAAAGAACTAAAATTCTTGAGTGACACTGAATAAATTGGGAAATTTGGAGAAATGTGGAAAACATAAACAAAATTAGCGAATAACTATACTACTACGCAAAAGTGAATGAAAAATATAATGATCTTTTTACTTTTTAGATAATGGCTTGCCGTTGTAACTTTTAAACCTGAACTCAATCACGGAACTAAGGCGTCAAAAGACCTCGTAATATTTAATTAACTAATCATTCTTTTGTAAATATAATATGCTTTTATATATAAAATTACTTTAATCTTCACCTATAAATATCGTTGTTATGTGACCTAGCATCATTACAGATGATGGCTAAAACATAGTCGAAAGCTAGAACTGTATTATTAAAATGTTCCTTTTCGGAGTTAGCGTTGTTTTTTGTACCCCACACTCAATCACTGTTTTGTATTTCTTCTTCAGTACTTGCACGGTGTTATAGTTATTGTCGTTAACTTAAGATAATTCCCAGTTTTGCATTGCGCACTTTCACTGCGCACATCTTATAACTTATAATTTCATCCATTTCACGTACCGTTTAAAACAAAATATCATTTTATGACAATTTTATGTTACTTCAAAACATCTTTGATTACATTCGCGCAACGAATTACGTTAAAATCAATGTTTTCTGAAAAGGCATACAAAAGTGTAGCTAGGGTTCCTGTGTCTGTAGTATATTTATTTACTTGTATTTCACGTTTTAATGCCACAATTTCCTAAAAAGATCGGTGACCCCCGTTTTTTAAATGATAATTTATTTCTTTAATGCATTTTACATTTTATATCCGAAATTAAAAGAAAAATCATTTCTGGATCTTGAAAAAAAATGCTTTATCAATGCATGTTCTCAAAGAAAGATATGTAAGGAAATGTGAAAAAGACATTTGTGGATCAGAATTGCACACGTTAGTAGTTTCAGTTTGCTCAAAACACAATATTTTTTCAAAAATAATTACAAGATAGGTTTACTAAAGCAAAATCCGCACTAAAAACGTCAATAAATATCGGGCTGTTATGATGTTGCTGTTACTCGTAATGAGCGTCAAGATGGCGCTATATTGGGGGTAAAGGTGGTATATTGTGATTGTCATATCTTCTTAACGAGTTCGGTGACCCCGACCTTTTTGTGTGATTTTACTTTAAGTATATCATAATGCTTTAAGTACATCATAATTACTTTAAGTATATCATAATCCCATATTACTTTAAATATATCATAATCCCATGCCTGGGAAGTTTCAGCACATTCTCATTTCGGGAACAATTACTGCGGAATTACCTTAAGGACTGAAGTAAATAAATTAACTCTACATCATTAAAGATTTTGGGCATCTCGCTATAGTTGAAGGGTGTTGTAGATAAAAATTTCAAGTGGAAGTTCTATACAATTTTCACAGCTAACCAGGAGAAGCTGCGTGATATGCAACTGTACGGCCCTAGCTGGAAGGAAACAAGCCTGCGGCCCGAGATTCCAGTGCAGCAGTCTAAACAACTGAGCTACAAAGTCCAGTATTCGAGTTCTAACCACAAGTTCTCGTATACACATATAGTGGGTATGCCTGTGTAAGGTATGGATAAGCATCAAGGTTTTGGAAATCACGCTCGATAGCACTAATAGTTGAAGGTTCTTGTATATGGAAATTTCGAGAAGAAGGTTAATATACATCCTGGATTGTTCTATAAGTATATATATAACCTTCAGCAAGAGATTCCCATGTACAAAATCCCTTCAACTCCTTATTCCATCCCCATCATGCATGTAGCATTTCTGCAATTTACCAAATCAATGAAGAATGCCAACAAATTAAATTTTAACTCTTCGATGGTTCAACGCACGGTCATTCAAAGAACGCGTTTAGCATATTTAAAGAGCTTGAGTTAATTCAAGCTTTCAAGCAACAAGAATTTTACAGTATGTCAGTGTTTCCCTGAATTATCAAAAACAAAATGATAAGCGATTTACCAACCTTTATTTGTCGAGGTCCTAATCAACCTAAGCATCACTCGATAGACCAACGTCTCAAACTGCCATTCATAGTTTGACTTTTTCCATTTGACTCTTTTGCTGTCGCAACGCTCGCGAAAATCTGCAATCAACATTTGTATCAGGATAATTGGTTTACGATTGGCCTGGTATTGGTAAAACTGTAAAAGTAATAAAGCATCATATTATCATTACAATGTTTATAATAATCTGCGAAAATTAGAAATCTTTCATTGGTGTCTATGCATGTTTGTGATACAAAACGTATTGTAATTGCTATAGCTGTGCAGGGCCGTACGCGAGATTAGTTCATCACGAGAGCACTAATAAACATATATGTCGAAGTAAGCACCCAAATGTGAATATATTCCAAGGCATGCCAGTCAGATGCATGCTTATGGTAGCCCTTTACAGAATCAAACTTTCGGATCCATAACAATGATAGACCATTCGCCTGATCATCAGGCCGCGTTTTATTTATTTATTTTCCTTAAATGTGGGAGGATAGAAGAGAAAAGAGGGTCTGAAACAAGTCCCTCTCCAGCGCATGTGTATTGTACGAAGGCAGAATCTGGTTTTTTATCTGATAGGCCAACGGGTTGGCTATATAATGCGGTAAGGACGGATGGTGTGGTACATAGACCAACACATTGAATTCCAGTTGGACTGTTTCAGCTGTTTTTGTTTTTTTTATTTTAGTTAAGATATCCACACAATTAATCGAATCCACACTCAACTAAACGACTGAAAGTTCATAGAAAATTTTTTTGTTGTTTTTCTTCGATTCTTACGGTATAGCAAAATAACATCTCTGACTCATTACTCAGTGCACGTGTCGATTTCTGGCTGCAAACAGCACAAATGCAACATAATAATATAAGAAGTGCTCAGGATAATTATATACAATAGAAGCTCAGAGCTGGTACGGCCTTACCCGCAATATATTTTCCCAACGTACTGTATAGCATGTGGCTCTACAAGCCTCCAACTATAATAATCTATATTTTAATATACTTGCAGTTATTCAAAACAAATATTTGACAATAAAAAATTGCTTCAGATATGAACCATGCTAAATAATGAAATTAGCGAGGTAAAGAATTTGATCAAAATCCAGTGAAGCGAATGCAGCGGTAAAAGTTGGCCGATCAATAATGCAGACTTTAATTTAAAGAAAAATAGGGAAACACTTATTTACCCCGCTATAATTGTTGAATTTTTTTTGCTGTGAAGAGTGCAATCATGATCATTTGTATACAGCTATTCCAATTAAGGTTGTCCCCGAGCCAAGCGAAAAAGTCGAATACGAGCGCACAAGGCTTGCGGCTGAGAATCGCTAAAAAATCATTATTTTTTTAGCGATTCTCAGCAAGCCTTTCGCGCACGTATTCGACTTTTCCACTTTGCTTGGGGACGACCATAATTGAAATAGCTGTATATGGAAGGTATGAGGTATAATGAGTTTTTTGTCTCTTAATGTTAATCGGTTACCCATACATGCATGGTTATCAAGAAATTTACAAAATTTACAAAATCATAAAATATTCAAAAATATGGACATTCCGCATATTTATATATAGAATTAAAAGTTGATTAAAGATAAAAATTCTATTTCTCATTGTGAAAGTAAAGTTATTCGACCCCGTTATAAACACGTACCTTTGGTAAATCTTGCAAAAACGCCAGGCATACGTGAAGATCCAGCCAATTACCTCCATCACTGATCGCTTTACCAAGCTTCATGACTTCGTTTTTCTCCAGTTTGCTATTCAGAAAATTTTCGCATTTCTTGATGCTACTATATAAGGATTCCCTCGTGTCCTTTTTTCCTGAAATTCGTTTAATACTTTCCCGGGCAAGATAAACACCGTACCGAAAAGTATTTCGTCCGCCGAAAAGCTTTTCGTCCTTGTCACTCTGGAGAGTTTCCAGCGTTTTGTCAAATTCTCTGAGTTTTGGAAGAATTTCTATGTATTCTTCTTTACTGTGCTTGAGAAGGACTAACGTGATGAGCCAAGCGTATGTCGTCATTCGATGAGATTTAGCTGTAAAATGGTCCAGCTTCATAGACTCTAGAAACGACGCACGAAGGATCTCTTCAGCTTTCAATATGTTACGACATCGAATTCTTGTGGAATTGGAAATGCTTATAAATATTTCGTTGAGAAGAGCATCAAGGGCTCTTTTCACTACATGAGGACTGGTGCAGCAGGCGAGCATTGCCAGTTGGTCAAAATAGCCGTCCAGTATTGGAGAATTTGAATCACTTTTCTTCAAAAGGTGAACGATAATGAAGGTTTCTTCGTCGGCACGTATTTCATCGTGGGTAGATTCAAATCCACTCATGAATTCCTTTGTTCTGCTTTTAAAGCGCTCAATTTTCTTCATAATTTCTAAGGAAGAAAAACTGATTTTCAAAAATCAAATTTGGAATGCTATTATTTAGTGTATGGGACGGTTATGTATACAT